TCCACGCGACCAGCAGGAGAAACTGCAAATACACAGCAGGCGTTAGGGTCGGGAACGAACCCACGACCTCCTCTATACCAGGTGAGGTCGTTAACATATCGCCACCAAGGTCCAAGGGTAGATTATGGACAGTATCCCTAAATGTAAAAAAATATAGGCTTTTACCATTTCTAGCAATTAAACAGGAGGTCTTAAGATGTTCAAACACCAAATAGACACGCCAATTTCAAAGCATCAAGCCTGCATGAACCACACGCAGTACTTGTGGCTAAACATGCAAACGCACACGCTCTGATAATATATAGGCATTGTCTCTGAAACTGTTTGGCCTGCACCAGAGACAGCCTTCTTCATGGCCTTGTATCACCACCAGTGTCAGACCAGAGGAACGCCAAAAGGCGAACAGTACAAAGGCAATGCAAGTATCAAAGTATTAATAGCTCGGCTTGAGCAGTTATATCTAAGGGACCTTTTCTGCCAGGATGCGTAAAGTTTGCTCCCCAATTCATCCCAGATAAGAGGGGTTCTACAGCACTAAAATGACATCACATCCACGCAACTACTGGCTACTGAGTACCGAACCTATTTTCATACAGTACTGCGTATTTAAAGGTCTAATGTCGCCTTGTTAAATGAATAAAAACACGCGGACTAAAAAAAATACATTTTAACGCGTCGGCTTTTGCGACCAATATCATCCATAATATCGTTTTATTGGGGGGGTGAGATCACATAAATATATAAATGTTGTGTCGTTAAACCCGCTACCACCCAACACAGCCAACTAGTAAGGTTTGTCATGTAAACAAGACATGACAATTCGTTACTAGTACAGCACACCGGTGTGCTGGAGAGCCAAGCCACAATCTTACTCATTGGCTGTGTCGGGTGGTGGCGGGTTTAACGGCACGTTTATATATTTACACGATCTAACCCCAAAACAACCTGTATTATGGATAAAAAAAAACACTTACATCCAAAATTCTGTTAGTTAATACAATTTTGTGTGTATATATATTTCAGCCGATAGAATTGAGCTAGATATAATTAAGTAAAAAAAAAATCTAGTTTATATAACGTTTGTGTGCGTGCAGTCATTGGTGTCCTGGCTGCTGAGACCATCAACTCGCTTCGTTTACGCACGGTTAACCGCCCAGACTCGGGAACCCCAAATTCTCAGTGGAGGAGATGGCTAAGAGCGAGCGATCACTTTGAGGCATCAACACCGCAAGCCACCCATCCATCTCACGGGCTGCCACCACCACCACCGCCGCCGCCGCCGCCACGTGATTTCATTCTCACCTGCTCACTTTGCAACCAATGACTTGACTGATGAATGCCACAGTGAGCAGTACTCATTAATAAAATAAACGTTTGTGCCTGGAGTCTTGCGTTCATTGTTCCAGGTGTAAAACAAGTTAATGGATTGCCATATTCCACAAACTCACGCGCTAAAACATTCAGCGGAGTCCAAAAACTATATTTTGTTTGCGTGCAAACGTTGTTGGTTTTTTACCTACAACTGTAAGACCAGATGCGTGAATTTGAGGTTTTTCTTCCAATTGGAGAGGATGTATTGAAAAGTGTTCAGGAAAAACAACTGTTCATTACCAGAAAAAAACAATGAAAAGATGAATTATGGCACGGCCATAATTATTTTTAGTAATGCTTTTTTTGTTAGTCTGGGAAATTTGTTAATTTGGATAGTGTTGGTTTTATATTCTTGGTTCTTTCGGTAAAGTCACGTGGTTTTCACACCTGATGATGATTGCTTGTGTTGCAGTCGAAACGTCGTGAGAATTGTATTGTTTTTATATATATATTAATTATTTTATTGTTTCCCTTCTACGTGGCTTTACCGAAAGAACCAAGAATATTAATCCCTGCAGTCACGAAAGCTTTGAATCAAAATTGAGTGTTGGTTTTGTTAACTACATTATCGGCCGATTGCTGTGTTATCGTGTCGATTACATTCCAATAATCTGTAGACACTGTTTATGCAATCTAACTCAAAAACCTCTATTATGGCTCATACTTCTTAGGAGTGGTTCATAAACAGGCTGATCTACTGCAAGTGAGAAGTGTTTATGCAGCATTTACTTGCATCAGCTATCGCTCATATGCAAACACCATACGTGTTACGTAATAACAATTATAATAATACATTGAATTTGTAGAGCATCGAAATACAATTGCATCCCAAGATGCTTTACACAAGTAGGAGACAACACTGGGCTAGGACAAAATAAGTAACAACGTGGACATAAGAAGGTGACACAAGAATGTGTGACGTACGAAGTAGACACGACCAGGAGACGCAAGGGAGCGGGTGAGTCAACGCGGACGGGCAGAGGGCGAGAGACGGAGAGAGTTCAACCCAGGGCCGATGAGGCCAAGCCCAGCGTCGATGAACCCACTGGAGCCGCCACGGGCCGTGGATTCAGCTCGTGCAGGCAGCGAGTTCTAGCACGAGTTTTGTAATTGCAGGTGGCATGACCAGGCGATCAATAAATACAACTTAAAACTAAACTAGTAAACTAGAGATTTTTTTTATTTTATTTTACTAGTTCAAGCCTACTAAGCTACATCGCTCTTTTTCAGAAGAGAATGATACGTCACGACTTCAGGGCCAACCCAGGGGTAATTTGAGCAGGGCGACACTTTGATGTTGCTGCTGTAAAGGGGCATAACATGGCACCTTGAATTCTCAAAAGTGAACTAAACTAAAATTAAACTTTTTATTGTACCAGGTAAGACCCACTGAGCTATGTAGCTTTTTTTATATAGTGACTTGGCCATAAATTATAGCTCAATGAAGTGGCTTTTCAGAAATTGAAAGCAGCCAAATACTCTAAACGTATGTTTGTAAATATGGAGAGAAAACCCGGAGGACCCGGAGAAAACCCACACGACCAGGGGGAGAACATGCAAACTCCAAATATACAACAGTCGTCAGGGTCGGGATGGAACCCACGACCTCATGCATACCAGGCGAGGTTAGTTCACATCTCATAGCCACCGTGATGATGATGAGAGAGAAAGACACAAACTTCAAATATACAGCAGTCGTCAGGGTCGGGATGGAACCCACGACCTCATGCATACCAGGTGAGGGGGTTGACGTCTCACCACTAGGGTGCCCCATAATAATTACATAAGGGAACAATAGGGGAGCGGGGGGGTGCAGCTAAATGTGCCGCTGGGGGTTCACACCCAGAGCGCCTCTTCCGGGAGGCTGCGTGGATTTCCTGGCTGCAGAGGCTGAGGTGGACCTCACTGCCTGCCTTGCCCACCTGCCAAGACGGTTCCTCAGCACCACCCAGGGTGGCAAATGCTCGCTATGTACCATGGTCAATATGTACCATGGTCAATATGTACCATGGGCAGAAAACTGAGTGTATAAAACCATCTTATTAATGGACGCAAGTAAAATCTTCATATTCCATAGACGTTTTATGTGAAGTTTTGTCCTTTTTCCTGAAACTATATTACATGTTGAACGTCTTTCGCACCATGCGTAGCCAACCGTGCAGAACAAGCCACCCACATAAACTCGCTATCATACACATTTGTGATCCACTATTAAAATTCTCCCCAAAAAAAATCCATCAGTAGCATTTGCCACCATGAGGGGGTACCGATAAGCCGTTATTTTGACCAATAATTCGGGTGCTAACCTGACCTGGAGGCACGGCACATCCCTTAGTACTGGGAGCACCAGCAAGTCCCAGCGGCAATGGGGCATTCAGGGCAGCACCGACAAATCGCACAGTTACCGGGGCAGCATCGATGAGTCCCAGGGTCACCGCAGAAACAGGAACAACAAGCAAGTGCAGCCAAGTGCCAGAGGCACCGAGGCAGTCAGGGGCAGCAGCGCACAGGGAGCGGTGGTTCAGCAGTTCACACGCTGCTGTGCATCTCCGTAGCCTACGATTATTTACTGGCCAAACTACATCGCTCATTGATATTCGTATCTGAAGCTGAACCGGGCCAGCTCTAAGTCAACTCAGCAATAGATCAGTACTTTGTTGTGCTGTGTAGTCAACATCAGCAAAAAGCAAAAGACAAAGCCGTTTCCTTGCTAATAGCATTTCCCAGGCAAGCTGACTGTGAATGTTCCTTTTAAATGTGTGCTGAGGAGGAATGTCGGTTAGTTCAATGGACAATGATCCGGTGGTACAGGCTTCAATCCCTGAGCGTCCACAACACGCGTGGAAATTGTAATGTACACCGATGCCTACTTCATCGAGAGGCGCCATCGGGCACTTGAAATGAAGATTCATTGATTTGAAACTATCCTTAAAAGGGTTCCGTGCATGTGGTAGTTTGGCCAATTATATTTATGTTAATTAGCACTTTAAAAAGGAACACCTGGCGCAGTGGTTGGTGGTCTACTTCAGTAATGGGGGGACAAAACGCTGCCTTGCGTGCGCGGATTCCGGCCACACCATATCCCTGTTGGTGTTCTGTGCTGGCCTTAACCAGCATTCACTCACGGCACTTTCCTACGCGGCTAAACAGCGAATCTGTCGTCTTGTATGTATGTTGAACTTCTTTCGCACCATACGTAGCCAACCGTGCTCATCGGAGGTGCGTGAAATATGCCATGTTTGTGAGCGCACTGTGGCACAATCTGGCCACGCACAACTCCACGTTGCAATTTATATCTGACCCTGGTCTGCATCTCTCATAGAATGACTCAGCCTGCGGTGCCACGGTGGCGAGATATTAACTACCACGCCTGGTATGCAGGAGGTTGTGGGGTCGATGCCAACCCTGACGATGCCTGCTGCTGCTGCTGCTGTATATTTGGAGCTCCACATTCACAAGCACGTATTTAGAGCGAAACACGTGATATGCCACTGTTGCAATGTCATTTGTCGCGAGGTCACATCTGAAAAAAGTTTTTGTTTAGTGAAAAAAAAATTTGGTTTAGTTTAAAAACACACACGTACAGTGCGTGAGATGCAGAGTGAATGGGCACAGGTGGCCTCGTGTACCTGACGCTGCGGAAGAACTGCTCCTCCTTGGAAGGAACGGCCAGAGTCCAGGATCCACGCTGCAGGATCCGCGGCCTCTCGTGCCACTCGATCTGCGGCACACCATCACGCCTCTTACTGACAGCACACCATCACACCTCTTACTAACAGCACACCATCACGCCTCTTACTGACAGCACACCATCACACCCCTTACTGACAGCACACCATCACACCTCTTACTGACAGCACACCATCACACCCCTTACTGACATCACACCATCACACCTCTTACTGACAGCACACCAGCACACCTCTTACTGACAGCACACCAGCACACCTCTTACTGACAGCACACCATCACACCCCTTACTGACATCACACCATCACACCTCTTACTGACAGCACACCAGCACACCTCTTACTGACAGCACACCAGCACACCTCTTACTGACAGCACACCATCACACCTCTTACTGACAGCACACCATCACACCTCTTACTGACATCACACCATCACACCTCTTACTGACAGCACACCATCACACCCCTTACTGACAGCACACCATCACACCTCTTACTGACAGCACACCATCACACCCCTCACTGACAGCACACCATCACACCTCTTACTGACAGCACAGCAGCACACCTCTTACTGACAGCACACCAGCACACCTCTTACTGACAGCACACCATCACACCCCTTACTGACATCACACCATCACACCCCTTACTGACAGCACACCATCACACCTCTTACTGACAGCACACCATCACACCCCTTACTGACAGCACACCATCACACCTCTTACTGACAGCACACCCCTTACTGACAGCACACCAGCACACCCCTTACTGACAGCACACCATCACACCCCTTACTGACAGCACACCATCACACCAATTACTGACAGCACACCATCACACCTCTTACTGACAGCACACCATCACACCTCTTACTGACAGCACACCAGCACGCCCCTTACTGACAGCACACCATCACACCTCTTACTGACATCACACCATCACGCCCCTTACTGACAGCACACCAGCACACCTCTTACTGACAGCACACCAGCACGCCTCTTACTGACAGCACATCAGCATGCCCCTTACTGACAGCACACCAGCACGCCCCTTACTGACATCACACCAGCACGCTCGTGATTGACAGTACAATACTTTGCCCGTCACTAACAGTACAGCACGTCTGTTACTCACAACAGCACAATACGCCATAACCAACAGCAAAACACAGCAGCCGTTATCAACAGTTAAAGGTCAAAGGGTTTTCCTGCTCAAATGAGCATTGAGGCGATTGGTCACACCTCCTGTTTACAGCCCTGAGCCAGTCGTGGAATTTCCACATTGCCATGGCGGAGGTAAGTCTCTTCATAGGACAACCGCTCTCGACTTCCCCACAGAGTGGTACATCCCTTTATTGACCTATTGACCCCGGAGGAATGATGGAATCAATACCCCCCCCCCCTCCAAGCAGGATTTTTTAACGTACAACCATCCGATTGCGAGCCGTATCGAGCACATCCCTCCCACTCTCGGCGATCCGCACTGGCTTCCAGTAAGCTTTTGCATCCAGCACAAGTTAACCATTCGGGTCTCCAAAGCTCTGCATGGTCTTAGACCAATGCACCTGTGGGCCCGATTTATCTGCCATACGACTGGGCTTTATTCTCTACCACGCTCTTCGGAGCGGGACCTACTGCCCCGGCCTTGGCTACTTGAACTCGTCGCTGGGAGGGAGTCGGGAGCACTCAAAAGCCGCTGCCCCAAAGATCTGAAACGCCTCACCGGCGGTGATCCGGCACGCTGCGAACCTCGGTGTTGTTTGGGAGGGGGTGCAAGACTCACTCATTTTCTCACGGCCTTTACTTGAACGTTGTTTTCATTGCCTTCACATTTTATTTCAGTGTGCAATGTTTTGATACCCCCCTGAGTGGAGGTGATATGATATTTAAAATAAATGTGGTTTACGGTTTTAGGGCTCACTCTCATTCGACCACTGACCCCAACCGGGGCCGAGTAACTACCAAGGGGCAATGACAACCAGAGGCCTACAGGGCACGTTGGGTGCCGAGGGGACAGCGCTGTCCAGTTTCCAGACCTGCTGAACAGGGCTCCACGCTCTCAGTGCAAGGTACAAAGACGGCATTGAGCCTGCTTGATGGAACCTTGTTTGGGACGAATGAAGAAAAAACTAAAATATGCCGCCATTAAATATTGGCCCCAAAAAAGAAGGCCAGCCGGACTGATGTATTTATTCGTGGGTTGTTTTTTTTTCTCTTCGACGTCGAAAGATGGGACGTGTTTGGATCAGAGAAGCATGGGGATAAGTGATGTTTCACTCGTCACGTTTTCTCCCAGTATCAAGCGTGCACAATAAGGCCAGACTTTAAGCACCCAAAGTAATAGTGAAAGCGGGAAATTTAATTTCGATTTGGTAAACTCAACTGTAATAAAGTTATTATGTTAAATTTTATTTGAATTACTGATATTGCAATTTTTGGTTTTGTGTTATCTCCTTAAAAATGCATGCACATTGATTGAATTAATTTCACAGTCAATTTGTAGAGTAATACATTATCTCAGTATCCTGTAGCATTAATTATATTTAAAGTTACACATCAGTGTTTACATCTTTTTTTAAAATGTTTAGAATTTCCTAACTGTGCAGTACAGTTTCTTTTTTTTACTTTTACGTTTTGCCCTAGAGCTCTTCCCCCCCCCCCTTCTAAAGGGTATTTGACATGCTCTTGCACGTTGGCCAAATGCCTTGTATGACGTGGGAATACCCACACTTTACCCCACCACACAATGACTTGCCGATCAACTAACTACGGTTAGTCTAACCTATAACTTTGCATCTAATACTATTCAACAAGAATATATTTTTCCTGCCCTTCTGAACAGGCGTAAATGTGTAATCACGCTGGACTTGCCATATGCAGTGGTCACAGAATCGGTTTGTTCTCCCGGCGCGGCAGCTGAAGCAATGGATCGAGTTTATTAAATTCCCTCCCCTTCCGTACACCCAGCGGCAGTATAAATGGGTACACCAGAGTCGTTCGGCGGGCCAGCGTGCAGTAGGGTAAAGTTCCCACTTCATCCGATACGTCTGGCCAACGTGCAGGAGCAGGCCAAATACCCTTTAGAACGAGCCTTCGAGAGCTCCCTCGAGTGGAGGCCCTTCTGTCGGCAGTGGTGCGAGCGAACAATTGCAGGGCTGCGCCTTTGCCCATACCATCCGATCAGTAGCAATGGGGTGGTGTTCATCACTTCGGATGGTGAAAGTCTACTTGAGCAAGGCCAATGTCTCCGTGGGACAATTGTTGGACTTTACACGAACGAAAGTCTACTCATTCTTCTTCCGTACGGCTCATGTGAATGCAGAGCAACAGCTACAATGACGCATTCAGATAACCGTGTCAGAAGCAGCGGAGTGTATCATTCGCTTGCAATGTCCCCTTCCGTATTTGTGGTTCGGGCATTGCGTCGCCATATGTCGCACGGTCCGTTCTGGATGACCAGAGTCGCACACTGGAACGATGATCTGAGTCGACATTCAACCGGGATTTGAATTCGGAGCCTTCCGAATTGTCGGAGGAATGCTCTTTCACAGCAGCACCTGTCGGGATATCTAAACATTATGACATGTAAAGGTCAATACATGATTACACTGCCCTCATGTTGAGACGTAGCTGGGCGGTAATGATATTAGAGCTCAAATCTCAGTCAATCGAGCCGAGTCAGCCCATCGTCTCTCTGGAGTTGATCAACAATCGTACCACTCTCTTAGGATGTAAAACGTGGTTGCCCTATAGGATGGCCCCAGCCATAGGAATGTGGAAATTCCACCACTGGTTCAAGGGCCGTGGATGTGAGTACAACCCCCATGCTCACTTGAGTGGAGACACATCATTGACTGTTGTGTATGTTTGAGGCACAAAAGGGTTTTGGTGCTGTCCATGGCTCAACGTCTTGGGATGTCCTACCCACACCGAATTCCAGTAAAACCAATTGGTAACGTACTTCACTGGCGCCTCTAGGCTTCCAACCATCTGTGTCTCGGCAATGATCATTGTTGCACTGAATCTAATGACGAGATGTGTCATCCTGGCAAAGGAGACAGCTCACAAACTTAGGCCCTCGAAAAAAGCACCAATTGGTATAATTAACAGCAAAAAAAGAGGCCGAAATTTTGTAATGGGATAAAAACCCAATGACCATTAAACTCGCATGCACGCACACACGTGCATTTAGAGAGAACAGCGTTCGTTTTTTTCCCATTCAATGAAAGGATTCTCTGTTCCGTTGTTTAAAAAAAAAAGCGTATTTCCTTTGTTTCAAAGAATATACTTTCTGCCCTTTAAAAAAGAAAAAAAAATGTTTCGTGCAGCAGGCATTACCGGTCATATCGCTGACAGACACGACCGAGGGGGTATCGAGGTCTTTTTTTGTGCTTTGGCAACATTTTCATTCACCGCTTGCAATGATCTTCATTTTGCACCCCCCCCCCCTCCGCCCGCCGCACCCCCCGACAAAAGCGGGAGGGGGGGGGATTACGAACGGAGCAAATAAAGGGGCCCTTTGACCGTGAGCACAAAGGAAAATGCGAGACTCATTCCAAGCCTCGCATTAATCCGTCCGTACCGCCGAGACAAAAGGCTGCTTTACTCCAGCAGCTCCGATCGCCGCTCTCGTGAAAAGGCCCGGGTCTCGGTAGCGATTTCGCCAGCGAAATATAAATACGACGGAGGCTGTTCGCTAAAAAAAAGGTTCGAGCGCTGAGACGTGAAAGCACCGAGGTTCATTTTTAACAGGGAAACCGCATTTAATATGGATCGATTATCTCCGTATATTTTCTAGGCGTTTAAAATGTATCTGGAAACATCGTGAAATCTGAAAGAGAAAAATCCATATTAAATCTGGAGCAAAAAAACAAACAAATCTGAAGCAAAAAAAAATCAAGGGAAATATGGAGAAAATCCATACTCACCAGACCTGGTACCCTGTGACTTCTGCATGCTTCCACAGCTAAAGAATGACTTGCAGGGGAAAGCAACTTTCTTGTGACAACCAATAAAACTTGTGC